CTGGATTAGTGTGATCCTAGTTCATTTTATTACTTCATTGCTTTGCTGTATGTGTATAGGCCAATTCCTTGGCTGGCGCTCGTGCAGAATGTTTCTTGGGCAAACTCACCGGCCCAAGTGGCTCCGTCCGCTAGCGGAGGGAAGGGGGAGGAGTCCGGTGACGTCTATGTCCGTGACGGCTAACGAAGGGAAGGGGGGAGGAGTTCGGTGACGTCGATGTCCGTGACGGCTAACGGAGGGAAGGGGGAGGAGTCCGGTGACGTCGATGCCCGTGACATCACCGGACTCCTTCCCCCCTTCCTTAGCCGACGGGGCCACTTGGGCCGGTGTAGAGGTACAAGATGCGAAGAAAACTGTTTCTTCTGTGTACACAGAGATACTTTTTCTCTCCTATGTTTTCACTGCCCTGCAACAGTCATGTGATCACTGCGTCGTAGATCCCTTTTCAGCAGTGACGGCGCCGGGGCGTAGAACGAGCGGCGTCCGTAGGCGCGCGTTACTTGTGTCCGAATGGAACCTAACGTAACATTTCCTCTGCGTGCGACCTCCTTGGGGGTGAAGGTTCATCTGCAGACCGCGGGCGCCGAGGTTTGTGGGTACGCGTGTGAACGGACCTCTCTCTGTCTTCCCAGGTGCTGGCTATGCCGGAGGAGCTGCTGGATGACCATGACCTGACCGTGGACTACATCCTGACGCCAACGCGGGTCATAAAGACGGACTGCACTCGCCCCAAGCCGAAGGGGATCATATGGTCCAAGGTGCGCGGCGTCGCGTTTGGAGGGGGGAAAAGGAGACTAAGGGGGTTATTATTATATACACTGAGTGGCCCCACAGTCACATCGGTCTCTGTACACAGGAGCTTACACTCTAATGTCCCCTCCCCCCACAGTCACATCAGTCTCTGTACAGAGGAGCTTACACTCTAATGTCCACGGGACGCCTTCCCCGTCCACCTGACCTGGCAGGGAGCCCAGCGCCGCGCCTTCCTGAACTACGGCGGCCCCGCCCACGCGGAACTGGTGCTGGCCAAGCTGGAGGGGCTAAATATCGAGGGTCACCCCCTGCGGGTGGAGATGGCTAGAGGTCAGCGGAGCCGAGCGGCGGGCGTACCCGAGGAGCAGAGACCATAGACCTCCCGAATGGCTGGTGCATGCTGACCTGCGGCGGCAGTTGCGGCTCTCGGCCCGCCCCCTGTGTGCTGTGCCGGGTAGACGAGAGGTGTGTGCGGGCGCAGCGCGCATGCGCCCTTGTATGCGGTGATGGAACGTTGACGTGGCTCTGCCGTAGGCAGTCAGGGGCTTCAAAGGTCCAGTCGGCTTTTTTTATTTGCCGACTTGTGTGCAACGCGTTTCGGGGGCCCTTCATCAGGGCTTCCAGCTGCAGATTATTGGTTGCTGCAATCTCAGGATCTGCCTCCTCTATCCAATCATGACGCTGCTGGAAAGTTCTCAGCCCTCCACCGCACTGGACATGAGCCATCGCAGTCCTGATGCATGTTCTCCCTGCTGAAGGGGGGGGGGCGGGATTTTGTTTATTTCGTTATCAGTTTAAAATATGTGACGTGTGAAAACGACATCGGCTCCCCCCTGTGAGAGGGCCCGATTTCTGTCCGGAAGGCACTGCATCTGGTGCGGACGGGCCCTAAAGGAGGAAGGCGTCTCCCAGTATCAATAATCAATAATAATCGGCTTTCTTTGATCAGATGAAGGTTTCCCGGGTGGTGGGGGGAAACTTTTTAGCGGGGCAAGGAGGGGGCGTGGCGGGCCATTGAAGTGAATGGCGCCGTAGCCACGCCCCCCAGGCAGCAATGCGTCCGCACCGTAGGCACAATGTGCCTTGCGATCGCATTGCGGCTACGGCGCCGTTCACTTCAATGGCCCGCCACGCCCCCTCCTTGCCCCGCTAAAAAGTGAGCCCGGAGGCAATGCGAGGCAGTGCGTTCCGGTCAGAACGCACTGCAACTGGTGTGAACGGGCCCTAAAAAAAAAAAGAAGTCAGAATTGGTGTCTGAAAGGGGCGGGGCCTCTC